TCTTCTGCGGGAAGGGCCGGGGCTGTGAGTGGAGCGCTGGCGTGAGGCGGTGTCCGCCAGGGAGGGAGCCTGCGCGAGGCGGGGTCCTCTCACGGGCCTGCAGGCGGACGGCTGGCTCATCGAGGCTTTCCTCGGGTGAGCAGAGCAGTGCTATTCTAGGGGACACCTCTGTTCTGCGCTGGATGTTCATGTTGAAGCCCTGTCATCAGGCAGCCAAGCATCCCAAACTGGATAAATGTCTCCATTGCTTGCCTTTTCTCTGTCTCTTACTCTGCCATACTGTTTGCCTTCTACCATCCAACTTTGTTAGCACATCCTTGCATAGACAGTTCATCTATTGGTCACAGCTTCCATTGAGCATACTTTGATTGTTGTTTTAGCAGAGCCTTTTTGTGATCATATGTATTCATTAGGGTGCCAGCAAGGTCTGCAAGTCCTAGCATCTCTTGTTTCATACTGTAGCTAAAACTTGAAAGAGGCTGCTAATGGGGTTCTCCAACCCTAGCGAGTCTCAAGCTGTTGCCTTGATGTGGGAGTGGAATGAGGCAAAAGCAGCAGGTGACCTCAATTCTTTCTACACAGAGGACCTCGGGCTGGTGCTCTGTGTCATGCAGGCATTCATATAAGGCAGAGGTACATTATGGCTTGTATACGTATCATGATGTATTCTTGGATAACACAGCCGCTGTTTCTGTGACCAGGTCAGGTGAGGAGGTGGGCAGAAGAGTAATGCCATGAACATTTTGTCTGGAGATAGACTGGCCTGGTAGTTGGCTTAATGCAGAGGTTATGGTGATGGGTATTTCTGGCATGTAAACAACATATTCCCTACAAGATGCTGGAAGAAGCCTGGGAGCAGCCCCAGAGACCCTGGGAAGAGCCCCAGCGCACCTGGAGTGACCCAAGAAGATCTTGGGCAGCTCCAGGAGGCCCTAGGAGAGACCTTCATCAGGCCCAGAGGAGCCCAGACAGGATTAGGGAGACACACATACAGCTTGTCCTCCACAGTTGAAGCCAGAATGCAGGAGGTTTATGCAGTTTGCTTCAAGGTAGCTGAGTAACGCAAAGGCATTAGGGTCTGATTTTTCCCGCCTAAGTACAGACATTGATTGGAATAACTATGGACTCTGTTCACACCAGAGTCAGTGGAAAGGGACAGCTCGGCCCACTCCAGCTCTGAAGAGCTCTCTGAGGACACCTTTCTGTTCTCTGTAAAGGTGTTTCAGGTGACCAAATCGAAAATGTCCGTATCATTTAAGTATAAAAGGCAGCCAGGATGAATTGGAATCAGACTTGCGCAAGATTTCGTACAAGGCTGTAATAATCAGTAGAGACAGCTTTTCCTCCAGGGTGTGATGTCACTTCTTCAGAGTAACACAAAAAACGAACACTGTCATCTTTCTGACTAAAAAGAGAGTGTGTAGAATGTCTTGCCTGCATTCTGTCCAGGAAAGTACATTCAGCATAAATTCTCATCGAGGCATACTCAGAACAGCGTTAGCAAGCTTCTGTGCTCAGGAAGCCCTAGAAAACCATCCCTAAAATGGAGCAGGGGGAGCCACTGCAGGGCTCGTAGGAGGTTTGCTGGTACAAGTGCTGCTGTATTTAATGCAGATACAGGTTTGGGTTTGTTTGGGGTTTTTTTCAGCCAAGGCCAGAAAGCAAAGGACTGCACATCAGTGACAAAGATCTGTTTCCTTACTTTGCTAGAAATCATGAGCCTTTGTAGCTGGTGCTTCTCTCTCAGCTGGTGCTGCAGCCCGCACTGCCTTTAATGTTTGAGAAGCTGTTCTGTAACGTGTAGTGAGGAATGGTTGCCAACCCCAGCGTTCCTAGTGGCAGCAAAAAAAGTGGAAATACTCTGCTCCATTAAGCCCTCTGATACTGATCTCCAAAATGATGGCGGGATCGCACCCCACAGAGGAGGGGGTAATACCCTGCGGGGTAGCTAAAACTTTGCTCCTGGGATCGAGCCTCTGGAGGTTTCCCTGGGAGATTCAGCCACCTGAAGATCTGTGGGTTAGGCGGCATTTCACATTATTCATGCAACATTTATTTTTGCTAATTCTACCCCGGTCAGCTAGTACTTCTGTTCTTAGCTACGTGCAGATCCACAGGAAATGACAATTCTATTTTAAATATTTTTGCATTTTTTTAAAGTAAAATGCCAGTATTTGTATGCTCTCTGTGAGGAGGAACACAGCCAGGCTGCCAGGAATCTCTATGGAGAGCTGCTGGAGCTGCCAACCATATTAGCCCTGCAACTTCTAATGCTGTGGCAGCGCAGCAACCTAATTAGTGCGTACCAGAAGGTGAGCTGGCAAGTAACGAGGCAGGCTTCTGCCAGAACCTTGTCTCACATGAAGCATTCCTTCAAAGGCAAACCTTCTGTACAAAACACTGCCAATTGGGCAAATTCTGAGAGAAAAAAAATGTGCGTTTCATGGTCCTGCCTGAGCAAAATGCTTAAGTGTGTTTTTAAATGCCGTTGGTTTAGTGGACAGCCTGCACGGTGACACTGCTGCAGATTCCTGGGGAGTGGGGGGCATTTGGGAAGCAATTGGGATAGCAGAGAAGAGAAGGGCTCGACCATGGTAGGGAGGTGGCTTTCAGTGAAGACATCTGTCTTATCTGGTATTTGATAAGTATCTCCTCAAACCCTGCTGCAAGTGGCAGGCAAAGAGGTTTCACTTCATTTAGGTGCTTCTAAATTTCCCATCTGTAAGTTTGCTCCATCAGTTAATGGCTGTAACAGGGATACTAGGAGACATTAGGAACTGCTATTAGCAGGCCAAAGTCCCTGGGTATAATCCAAAGACAGACATGGCAGTAAAGTTAAAACTAAGTTGGAAATTGCATTTCTATTTTGTTGAACTATATATTAGTTATTTTTTTAACTTTTTTATTGTAATTGGTTTGGGGTTAACTACCTGTACTGCTTTCAGCATGGAAACATTTTACTGTGAATACCATTGGTTTGAGTGGAGTGGGGAGATACTTTCTTTAACTTTCAAGTATTGCATTCCCCTTTTGCTGAACCAGGGTTCTTCGCGTGCTGTGGGGTGTGGAGAGATGATCCCTCCCCTTGGCAGGAGGGCAGACAACGGTTATAATTCTTCTCTTGATGCTTAACCAGCAAGATAGCAGCCTGCATCTCTGAAATAGCATCCTAGTCTAAACTGAGCCTAGTACCTGGGGCTG